TAACCTTAACCATCTTACTCAGACCACCTTAACCCTAACCTTAACCATCTTACTCAGACCACCTTAACCCTAACCTTAACCATCTTACTCAGACCACCTTAACCCTAACCTTAACCATCTTACTCAGACCACCTTAACCCTAACCTTAACCATCTTACTCAGACCACCTTAACCCTAAACTTAACCATCTTACTCAGACCACCTTAACCCTAACCTTAACCATCTTACTCAGACCACCTTAACCCTAACCTCAACCATCTTACTCAGACCACCTTAACCCTAACCTTAACCATCTTACTCAGACCACCTTAACCCTAACCTTAACCATCTTACTCAGACCACCTTAACCCTAACCTTAACCATCTTACTCAGACCACCTTAACCCTAACCTTAACCATCTTACTCAGACCACCTTAACCCTAAACTTAACCATCTTACTCAGACCACCTTAACCCTAACCTTAACCATCTTACTCAGACCACCTTAACCCTAACCTTAACCATCTTACTCAGACCACCTTAACCCTAACCTTAACCATCTTACTCAGACCACCTTAACCCTAAACTTAACCATCTTACTCAGACCACCTTAACCCTAACCTCAACCATCTTACTCAGACCACCTTAACCCTAAACTTAACCATCTTACTCAGACCACCTTAACCCTAACCTTAACCATCTTAATCAGACCACCTTAACCCTAACCTTAACCATCTTACTCAGACCACCTTAACCCTAACCTTAACCATCTTACTCAGACCACCTTAACCCTAACCTTAACCATCTTACTCAGACCACCTTAACCCTAACCTTAACCATCTTACTCAGACCACCTTAACCCTAACCTTAACCATCTTACTCAGACCACCTTAACCCTAACCTCAACCATCTTACTCAGACCACCTTAACCCTAACCTTAACCATCTTACTCAGACCACCTTAACCCTAACCTTAACCATCTTACTCAGACCACCTTAACCCTAACCTCAACCATCTTACTCAGACCACCTTAACCCTAACCTTAACCATCTTACTCAGACCACCTTAACCCTAACCTTAACCATCTTACTCAGACCACCTTAACCCTAAACTTAACCATCTTACTCAGACCACCCTTAACCCTAACCTTAACCATCTTACTCAGACCACCTTAACCCTAACCTCAACCATCTTACTCAGATCCACCTTAACCCTACCACCCTTACTCAGACCACCTAACCCTAACCATCTTACTCAGACCACCTTAACCCTAACCTTAACCATCTTACTCAGACCACCTTAACCCTAACCTTAACCATTTACTCAGACCACCTTAACCCTAACCTTAACCATCTTACTCAGACCACCTTAACCCTAACACCTTAACCATCTTACTCAGACCACCTTAACCCTAACCTTAACCATCTTACTCAGACCACCTTAACCCTAACCTTAACCATCTTACTCAGACCACCTTAACCCTAACCCTAACCTTAACCACCTTAACCATCTTACTCAGACCACCTTAACCCTAACCTTAACCATCTTACTCAGACCACCTTAACCCTAACCTTAACCATCTTACTCAGACCACCTTAACCCTAACCTTAACCATCTTACTCAGACCACCTTAACCCTAACCTCAACCATCTTACTCAGACCACCTTAACCCTAACCTTAACCATCTTACTCAGACCACCTTAACCCTAACCTTAACCATCTTACTCAGACCACCTTAACCCTAACCTCAACCATCTTACTCAGACCACCTTAACCCTAACCTTAACCATCTTACTCAGACCACCTTAACCCTAACCTTAACCATCTTACTCAGACCACCTTAACCTAACTTAACCATCTTACTCAGACCATCCTACACACCACCTACATCTTACTCAGACCACCTTAACCACCTAACCTTAACCATCTTACTCTACCACCTTAACCCTAACCTTAACCATCTTACTCAGACCACCTTAACCCTAACCTTAACCATCTTACTCAGACCACCTTAACCCTAACCTTAACCATCTTACTCAAACCTTAACATCTTACTCAGAACCTTAACTTCATCTTACTCAGACCACCTTAACCCTAACCTTAACCATCTTTACTCCTAACCTTAACCATCTTACTCAACCACCTTAACCCTAACCTCAACCATCTTACTCAGACCACCTTAACCCTAACCTTAACCATCTTACTCAGACCACCTTAACCCTAACCTTAACCATCTTACTCAGACCACCTTAACCCTAACCTTAACCATCTTACTCAGACCACCTTAACCCTAACCTTAACCATCTTACTCAGACCACCTTAACCCTAACCTTAACCATCTTACTCAACCACCTTAACCCTAACCTTAACCATCTTACTCAGACCACCTTAACCCTAACCTTAACCATCTTACTCAGACCACCTTAACCCTAACCTTAACCATCTTACTCAGACCACCTTAACCCTAACCTTAAACCATCTTACTCAGACCACCTTAACCCTAACCTCAACCATCTTACTCAGACCACCTTAACCCTAACCTTAACCATCTTACTCAGACCACCTTAACCCTAACCTTAACCATCTTACTCAGACCACCTTAACCCTAACCTTAACCATCTTACTCAGACCACCTTAACCCTAACCTTAACCCATCTTACTCAGACCACCTTAACCCTAAACTTAACCATCTTACTCAGACCACCTTAACCCTAACCTCAACCATCTTACTCAGACCACCTTAACCCTAACCTTAACCATCTTACTCAGACCACCTTAACCCTAACCTCAACCATCTTACTCAGACCACCTTAACCCTAACCTTAACCATCTTACTCAGACCACCTTAACCCTAACCTTAACCATCTTACTCAGACCACCTTAACCCTAACCTCAACCATCTTACTCAGACCACCTTAACCCTAACCTTAACCATCTTACTCAGACCACCTTAACCCTAACCTTAACCATCTTACTCAGACCACCTTAAACCTAACCTTAACCATCTTACTCAGACCACCTTAACCCTAACCTTAACCATCTTACTCAGACACCTAAAACTTAACCAGTCACCACTTAAGAACTTTTTAGTCTAAAACTAATTCGAAAGTAGGATTGTTACTTCCGGTTTCGTCCCGATTCCGTATATGATCTTGTGCCGACCCTCCTGACGCAACCCATGATCCAAGATGGCGTCCTGTTCATATCAGTGGCTTGTGCTCAGTAGTGCCCCCCCATGGTCAACGAGAGAATAGTGGAACTCGCCCATGTTTGGGTTAGCGTTAGTCTATGTTAGCATTGTCAATCTATATACAGTCTGTGTTAGCATTAGCATCTGTATACAGTCTATGTTAGCATTAGCATCTGTATACAGTCTATGTTAGCATTAGCATCTGTATACAGTCTATGTTAGCATTGTCCATCTGTATACAGTCTATGTTAGCATTAGCATCTGTATACAGTCTGTGTTAGCATTAGCATCTGTATACAGTCTATGTTAGCATTGTCCATCTGTATACAGTCTATGTTAGCATTAGCATCTGTATACAGTCTATGTTAGCATTAGCTTCTGTATACAGTCTGTGTTAGCATTGTCCATCTGTATACAGTCTATGTTAGCATTAGCATCTGTATACAGTCTGTGTTAGCATTAGCTTCTGTATACAGTCTATGTTAGCATTGTCCATCTGTATACAGTCTATGTTAGCATTAGCATCTGTATACAGTCTATGTTAGCATTGTCAATCTATATACAGTCTGTGTTAGCATTAGCATCTGTATACAGTCTATGTTAGCATTAGCTTCTGTATACAGTCTATGTTAGCATTAGCTTCTGTATACAGTCTGTGTTAGCATTAGCTTCTGTATACAGTCTGTGTTAGCATTAGCTTCTGTATACAGTCTGTGTTAGCATTAGCTTCTGTAT